TCCCTTAATTCCCTGTTCTGTCAAATCTGTTTGAGTGGAATTTCCAATTGATTTGCTTTTCCAGTTTGAAATGGATTCTAAGAAATATTATTAACTATAAACCTAACCCTAAAGGATGCTATTAAAAATGTAATGTGTGTCCCAGAGTGCATAGACTCACTTAGCCCACTCCCTTAATTCCCTGTTCTGTCAAATCTGTTTGAGTGGAATTTCCAATTGATTTGCTTTTCCAGTTTGAAATGGATTCTAAGAAATATTATTAACTATAAACCTAACCCTAAAGGATGCTATTAAAAATGTAATGTGTGTCCCAGAGTGCATAGACTCACTTAGCCCACTCCAATGGGAGAATTTTTTTTCTCTTTCACTTGACAGAAATGAAACAAAAGTGGCATGTGGCTTTAGGACATAAAATATTTAGCAATATGACATAAGAATCTGTGTCTATGAACCCACGAGGCTTTGTTATGTAGCTCTTGGGACAGCTGGAAAGCAACAACAGCTCCTTCAGTCCATCAGCCTTTGGATTTCTTTCTTTCTAGCCATTTTCAGTATTTAATGTAAAATTATGGCCAGAAATGAACACTATATTGTCTCTTCAAGCAATTAAGCCCCTGACAACTTCTGACAGGCAGTGACTGGCACTTTTGGGAAATCTATTCTGTGGTTTTCAATAAATCTTTGCTTAATCTGCATAATTCCTATTCTAATAAGACTTATCTCATTGTCCAGACGCGCACATCACAGGGTGAAGAGAAAGAAGCCATGGAAGCACACTCTGGAAACTTCAGTGGGTTTGTGAGGTGTGAGCCAAGAAGATAATCCATCCCTGTCTCACAGGGCTGGCGACCCAAGGCCTGGAGTTTTCAGCTGTCCTCACTGCCCCAAGGGTTATCTGAGTATTTGCACAATCAAGTGACAACCTCCCTGCAGCTGATTTTATTTCTGAGGTCTTGTCCATTCTACAAGCAGCTGAGCATCCAGAATCGTAGTCCTTTTTCAGCTCCTACTGACAGAAGCATAAGCAACAAAAAGAATGGAACATGACAGTCTATGACTTGCTAGGAAAAAAAAGGCTTGGGATTTTGTGGGGGGAAAAAAACCAGAGAGTTATTGACATGCTGAACAGCATCGAGGTAAGTGTTTTATGAGGTGAATAGAGTCCCCCTGCAAGTTGTTCACATGATGCAGAAGTTATTTCTAAAGGCAGTAGATAGTATATGATGGAAAAACAATTAGCAAATATGTTACGCCTCCTTCATATTAATAATTGTGCTGACTCTGCAGGGATCTCATTAGATTAAATCCTTTCACTAATCTGTCTAAACAATATCATTAACTGGAGCAAGCAGCTGAAATTCCATTAATAAAAGCAAAATTCCCATAGAAGATCTTCTGTTAATTCTCTTTTACAGGAGACCAGAATGAATACAAAGTGAACAAGCAGCAATTTAACCACAGAATCATTTCAGTGTTATCATTTTATTTTCTGCATCATAACCCTGTGCAGAGAAATGCCAAAGAATTCATGTTACCTTTAGCTGTTTTCCAAAACACAACCCCATGCATTTGTCCTGAAATACCTATGTGGGTGACTCTCTGGAGCTGCTGCTGAGGTAGAGCAGCAAGACAGTCATTCAGAGCTCTGATTATCCTCTGGACACTCTGCTCCTTTCCCTGCAATCACAAAAGCATTATCCTGAGCATGAAGCCATTAGGATTCACTCAGTGTATTCATTAAACAAGGCTGCTCTAGTCAGGGGTGAAGAACAGAATTCATTTAGCTTAATAGCATGGATTAGAGTAATAGTCACGACTCAACTGCAAAATGAAAAATAATGCAAATAACCCACGAACACATAGAAACTAAACCCCAATCCTAGCAAGCTGAGAATGAGATAACAACCTCTTAAACTGAAGGCCCAATAAGCCTTAATTTCCTAAGTTACCACTCCCTACAAGCTTTTATTAGTTCACTTTATGCATTCATTTTCCTCACAAAGAGGGTTATCCATGTGTTCTGACTGACTTTACATCTCCCTAAAGCTCCTCCCTATCCACTCCATGCTGATTTTGATGCTGCTGCTATTTCATGTCTGGATATTCTGTTCCTAGAACTACTCAGCAAACTGATCTACTCATCAAACTGACCAACCTGTGCCCCAGGAGCAGCTTTATTTCAGCTTTTACACCTTCAGATTACTTTGTGACAGACCAGTGTGAAGATTACAAGCAAAACTATCCAAACACAGAGTACAAACAGATGTGAACTTTGTGCACACACAAACTTTTGGCTAGGGAGGAGGGTTAGCCTGTTTGGTGTCTTCACTTAAAAATAACCTCTGAACTCACTCAAACACTAGGCCTGAGCAATGTTGGTGCATATTTTTAATATGAGGCCTGAGCAATGTTGGTGCATATTTTAATACAGTTCTGATTCATCCTCTTTTTCAGCTTGATCAACACAATGGATGTACAGATCTTTAACAGGAGTCCCTGGTTATTTCCACGGGGAATTTCCAGCTATGATTACATCTTCTGTTAAAGGGCAAAATACCCAAAGCACTCAGGGCTCCTTGATTAAAGTGTAAAGTGTTGCTGCTGTTATCGTGAGGCAAAAAATAACAGACCTCGTAAAAATTTGTCAGGGCCTTCTTCACATAAGGCTTAACTGTGCAGGGAGGGTTGACAAGAGCAGCAGTCAGGGCCTTCTTCACATAAGGCTTAATTGTGCAGGGAGGGTTGACAGGAGCAGCATGGTCAGCAGGACCAGGAGGTGATTCTGCCCCTGAACTCGGTGCTGGTGAGGCCACACCTTGAATCCTGTGCTCAGCTCTGGGCCCCTCAGCTCAGGAGGGACATTGAGGGGCTGGAGCAGGTCCAGAGAAGAGCAACGAGGCTGGTGAAGGGACTGGAGCACAAGTGCCATGAGGAGAGGCTGAGGGAGCTGGGGGTGTGCAGCCTGGAGAAGAGGAGGCTCAGGGGAGACCTTCTCACCCTCTGCAACTCCCTGACAGGAGGTTGGAGTCAGGTGGGGGTTGGTCTCTTCTCCCAGGCAACCAGCAGCAGGACAAGAGGGCACAGACTCAAGCTCTGCCAGGGGAGGGTTAGGTTGGAGATTAGGAAGAGATTTTTTCTGGAGAGAGTGCTCAGGCATTGGAATGTGCTGCCCAGGGAGGTGGTGGATTCACCATCCCTGGAGGTTTTCAAGCTAAGACTGGATGTGGCACTTAGTGCCATGGTCTAGTGACCACAGTAGGGTTGGACTGCTGATCTTCGAGTTCTCTTCCAACCAGGCTGATTCT